ACATAAATCTTTGTCCATAGGGATCTTACTCTCTAAGGGGTGGGAATGATAGACCAAAAAGCATAAACATAATAACTAAGTAAATATGTAAGAGTTTAGAAGTTAATAAGTACTATGGAGAAAATGAATAAGCACAGAAGTGTAATGAGGGTTTGAAGTGTGTGTGTGTGGCGGGGAGGGGTGGGGAGCACAGAGACAATCACTTCAGGCTATCTGATGTCCTTAATTCCTTGGGTAATTAATGCATTAAATTCCTTGGGCAATAAGAAGAACAAATGATTAGCATTCAATACCATCATCACTTTGCCCTATCATATGTTTTCAATTTAATTTCAGTTTTATATGTCTTCATTTACTTAGCACCATCTACATGCAAGGAACTATGTTTAGGTATTGGGGATGTTAACCTTTAACACAGCAAAATAGCTTTTTTGAGAACACTTGCAATTCAGGACATTCAGTCTAATGGCCAATTCAGAGAAACAAAGGAGAGGTATGCTCTTTTACAGACTTGGGAGGGTCTATTGTAGATAAAGAGTCCATTGGAGGAAATGGAAAGTTTGAAGGATAGTGACTTTTCATTGGCTGAGTTATATCATTCTCCCATTGGCTGAACTGTTATGGGCAAAGAGGAATTTTCTTCCTCCTGCTGAGATGGGAAAGTAGTATCACTTCTTATCCAACATTCAAGGCAGGTTGCCCGGCTTCTTGTCCCAGCATCAAGAAGGGTTCAGGAATCTGGAGAAGGCTGTGTGTAGATTTTAAATAAGAGTCCAGAGACGAAGTATAATTTTGAAAGGCATTTGGGGGTTAGAGGAGCTTAGCAAAAGGAGCTAAGATCCAAGATCTAAATTCTCAGGTCTCCTCCTCTCAGGACCCCATGCTTTTTATTAACACAATTTGTCCTGAGGCAAGGCAGAGATATACACTTCAAAGGGTCAGGGTTTCCTACAGAATCCATTGTCAGAATGGGGGAATTAGCCTACGGCTGTTCAGGTGTTTGGCCAGTAGGAGGCAATAACATGTAGATTAAGATGCCTTTTAGCTGTCTGGCAGCCAAGCTATAATCCCTTTTCAGGTTTGGGGAAATGCCTTCAGCCATTCCCAGATGCAGCCCTGCTGTCATGCTGGAATTGGTCTCAGGCAGCAAGTCACTTCCTGTTGGGGTCAGTTGGGTGCCCACACCTGAGAGTTTTCTCTTCCTGCCTCCTGAATGCATTTTAAATGAGGTTTCTGTTTCTTAATTTTCACAGGGATATAATGAAGAAAATAAAGTGCCTGTCCTTGTGAAGCTTATATTATAGTTATTCACACAGTCAACATAAAAAGGAAAAAAAATAATGATTAAGAGAAATTTTCTCAAGGAAAAAAAAAAGCAGGCTTGGGGTTAGGAGAATGATAGAGCTGAGGTCAGTAGGTTTTAGGTAAATTGGTCAAGGTCTACACCTCTGTAGAGGTGATCCCAACCCCCTCCCCTCAGAGATCTGTCATCTATTCCAAGCTCCATGCCTCAGGCAAGATTTTTAATCTCTGTTGGTTCTCAATTTACTCATCTGTAGCATGATGATAATAAGATCTATCACATAGAGTTGTCCCAAGGATGGAATGAGATAATCCATGTAAATGCTGGTCAAAGGTAACAAACTTTCAATTATATGATGAGTAAATTCTGGCAATGTAATATACAGCATGGTGACTATAGTTAATAATACCATATTGTATACTTGAAATGTTCTAAGACAGTAGATCTTAAGTATTCTCACCATAAAAGAAAAAGGTGCCTAACTGAGGTGAAAAAAATAAAGTTAATTGGAACAGCACCTCCATAATGATCATTATTCTAGAACCCATCTGCCCAGTACCAAGCGCACGTGCCTCTTGAGCAATTGACCTGTGGCTACGTTTAATTGAGAAGTACTGTTGGCGTAAGCACACCAGATCTCAAGGATTGGTATGGGAAAAATGTGTTTATTACTTGTTTATATCAGTTAAATAACTAAATAATATATTTTCAAAATTAATTTTGCCTCATTATTATTTTTTATTTTAATTTTAACTTTTTTGGTTAATCCTCACCTGAGGATATTTTTCCACTAGTCTTGAGAGGGGAAGGGAGGGGGAGAGGCAGAGAGAGAAACATTGATGTGAGAGAGACACATCAACCTGCATGTGCCCTGACCAGGGCCAGGAATCAAGCCTGTAACCATGATATCCAACCAGGGACCCTGCAGTCTGCAGGCTGATGCTCTATCCACTGAGAAAAACTGGCTAGGGCTAATTATTATTACTTTTTAAATCTTTATTGTTGAAAGTATTACGTATGTCTCCATACCTTACTTTTCTCTGCTCATGCAGGAGTCTCCTCTCATTCAGTCTCTTCCAGCCACTGTGGCCAATGTGGTTTTCTTGGCACTGGCTTGCCTTCTGCCTCAGGATATCCATCCATACTTTTCCAACTTGCTGTTCCCTCTGCCAGACTCCCTCCCTCTCCTCTTTCGGGTTCCTTCAATTGCCATCTTCTTCCTGAAGCCTGCCTTGAACACCACCCCGCAGCACTGCTTGGTACCATTTCTTGCTTTGTTCATAGAACTTACCACTGGTTTGTACCTGATTATTATTGATTAGATTTTTCCCTTCCTCACCAGAACACAAGCTCCATGAGGGCAGGGATCATCACTTTTTTTTTTTTTGGGGGGGGGGGGGGTTTCATACCATATCAAATACCTACAATTGGTCCAAGAACAGACAACATGTTTGCTAAATATTTGTTAAATAATTGACTTTTTACAAATAACGAAGGGAAGTAAGAGAAGGGTGATATCCTTCAGTATGATCAATTGCTGGAAAGCATAGAAATCAATGTATTTCTAATGTAGCATGCTCAATACGAAGAAATTCTTTGTGGTCAGAGTTGAAAACATAGGCTGGATATATAAACCATGAAATATGGTGTTATGGGCTGCGTTGTATCTTCTAAAATTTGTGTGTTGAAGTCCTAATCCCCAGTACCTCAGATTATGACTTTATTTGGAGAAAGGCCTTACAAGAGGTAATTAAGTTAAAATGAGGCCTTAGGGTGGCCCTAATTCAAAATGACTAATAGTTTTTTTACTGTTTTTATTTTTGATTTTTAGAGAGAGAGGAAGGATAGAAACATCGATGAGAGAGGAAATGTCATTGATTAGCTGCCTCCTGCACGCTCCCACTGGGGATGGAGCCAGAAACCCAGGCATGTGGCCTTGCCAGGAATCAAAGTGTGACCTCTTGGTTTTTGGGTTGATGCTTGACCACTGAGCAATACCGGCCAGGTGAAATGACTAATAATCATATTAAGAAGAGAAAGCTGGACCTGGACTTTTACAGAGGAAAGAGGACTATCTACAAGCCTAGGACAGAGGCTTCACAAGAAATCATTACTGTTGGCATCTTGAGCTCAGACTTCTAGCTTCCAGAACAGTGAGAAAAGACTTGTCTGTTGTTTAATCCACACACTCTGTGGTGCAGCGGTTCTCAACCTGTGGGTCGCGACCCCTTTGGGGGTCGAACGACCCTTTCACAGGGGTCGCCTAAGACCATCCATCGGAAAACACATATATAATTACATGTTGTTTTTGTGATTAATCATTATGTTTTAATTATGTTCAATTTGTAACAATGAAAATACATCCTGCACATCAGATATTTACATTATGATTCATAACAGTAGCAAAATTACAGTTATGAAGTATCAACGAAAATAATTTTATGGTTGGGGGTCACCACAACATGAGGAACTGTATTAAAGGGTCACGGCATTAGGAAGGTTGAGAACCACTGCTGTGGTGTTTTGTTTTGGCAGCCCTAAAACACTAACACAATGATATATGCCATTGTAAGGAATTTTGACTCTTCACATGAGCCCCTGTAAATTTTAAGCAGGGAGAGATGCGATGAGGCCTGAGTTTTAGGAAGATTGAATGTGTGGTAATACGGAAGAAGGTTGGAGGAGGGCAAAGGCTTGAGGCCCAAACACTAACTGGGACGTATTTACAATGGTTGTGGTCTACCTCATGGTGAAAGGAAGGAAGAGGCAAGTATGGAATTGGGGAAGCACCCGAGCCAGGACTGTTGGAAACTTAGTGACACCGTAGATATAAGTGATATTGACATCTGCCACAAAAAGGGATTTAGAAAAATGCAGACCCGCAAAGGGGTTCGGAGAATAAAACTTGCATGGACTGTAAGTTCTGGTTTCATACTTGAGAAAATTTCTCAAAATGGAACCTTAAAACAGATTATAGCAGCATTCATGCTGCTCAGGATGTGAACAGTATTCATTGAAAAAAGGAGTCTGCAGAAAGAGCTGCAGGCTATATCTCCTTTTGGGGATAATAATACCATACCAGTACATCAACTTAGCATATTAAACATCAGCATATTAAAGAATCTGGGAAGTTCTGCAATGAAGAAACTTCTATAACTTTGGCCAAAAAGAAGGGGGTATTTTCAACATTGATTTGATTATACAACGCTTTTTGTGAGGCACTGCTGAACCTCTCCCTGAACATGAGTACTCTAGAAATTAACACAGCGTGGAGAATAGTGGTAATTTTGATGCAGTAGAATGTTTCCAAAATAAACAGAGAAGCTTTGTCTGGGTAATCTTTGTTCCCAATAGCAAATCTAGTCAGCATTGTCTTAAATTGGCAGCATAAACTCATTAAAGGAATATAGTTGGTTTTCCCATAACCTAATTATTACCAGATTTTCAAAATATCAGAATCTTTTTGATGTAGCACTATTTTTTTTCATGTTCCAAAAGGAAAACTATTCAGTGCCTTGAAACAAACAAACAAACAAAAAATAGTAATATTCTGCTGACTTAAGGGAAAAGTGCTCAAATGCAGAAATCTGAGAGCCATTTTTGATCAGGTTTTTTTGATGCTAGAGCAGCCACACTCTAAATTTTCCCATATCCCACCGGCCCCCCACACCCACAGGGTCTGTGCACAATGACTCACATGCGATGCGCACGTAGGCCTTCCGGCTCTTGGTGGTGCCCGCTGAGCTCCAGGCCACACACTGGCACCAGTAATCATCAGGCCCAAAGAGTTCTTCCACTTGTTGGCGCGAAATCTCAATGCTCACTTCCCGGACAATGAGACCTAATCAGAGAAAGGAAGAATTAAGTCTGGAGAAGATTTGTACTAAAGAAATACAAAACATCATACCATACTTTTTTTCCACTCGGTGATCCTTCTTGATGCTATAGATCAACATCCCAGATATTGCCTCTCATCTCCTCTGATTTTCCTCTGGCTCCAGTAACCTGACTCACAACTTTTTCATTCTCTTATTTGCTTTTTCAAATCTTCTGGATTCATCAGAAGATGAAAGTGAAGATCTATTATTCCACAAAATTACACTTTTCCTCATATGGCCTAATAGTCATCCTCTACCAAGTTATCTCCTCCTGTATATTTAAATGTGAACTTGAATTTCACAGCTTCTAAGGATTCTACCTCAATTACATAGGCTGTGGGTGAGAGACCCACATGCTGTACAGAGAATTACAGATCTAAATCTTCTTAAGAAGATTTAGTTCACATGAAATGAGAGAGAACCACCTAAAACTATAATCATAAGTGCATAAGTTAGAAATATGTATGCCTACATATCAGGTCTTATCATATCAGCAAGTAATTTATAAATATGTGGTGATTATTTAACAATTAAATTATGTTAGCAGATGTGTTTCAGTTATTAGGCACACGTTTTCTGGAAAGATATAGTAGCCCCAGGTAACAAACCTCTACTATTCTATCCAAAGAATGTATGACTTTAAGGTTTTCAGGCAAAATATTTTAATAGCACAAATGTTTCTCTATAATTGTGATGTAACCAAAATCCTGTTAAAGATAAAGTGGTCTCCAGCTAAAATGCTCAAATACTTAGAATTTGTTTCACAGAATTACGTAATCCTAAATAACATAAATTTAACTGAGAATCTGGGATTATCATTTGAGGGGTGTTTATCTTGAGGATTCAAAGCCTATTTCAGAGATTCATTCTGCAGTTTGCATCTTTGCACTGAGCAACAACAGAGATCTACAAGATATATGTGCGTGACTGTCAGTTCTCCTAGAGACTGAACTTGCACTTTCCAGATGGAGTGTCTATTGAGAGAACTAACAGGGCACCCTTGGGGAGTAGAAGAATTCTCTCTGTGTCAAGTATGAGCACAGGAAGAAAGTTTAAACATATTACTTTCTACCATCGACTCATTCATTCATTAATTCATTGAACAAATATTTATTATGTATCCATTATATAAAAGACACTGCACTAGGCTGTTGGGAAATGATGAGGAAGATGGTGATTTTCCTCAATGAACTGATATTATAGTGAGGAAGGAACATATTAACTACAGATTGTACAATTTATTATTTAATCATAATTGTGTTCAGTGCTGCAAAGGAGATATATAGGGACACAGAATGAATAACAAGGGGAATAAAAGACCCAACATGAATTAAGTTTGTTAAATTAAATGGGGAGAGTGGCAGGGCATATGGAAAGAAGCAGGAAAGAGAATGGGAAGATTGAGGTTCCAGGAGAAGACAAGCCCCAGACACAGAAAATAATGGCATGGATGCAACTAGAGATGAGAAGGGGACCAGTTTTTATAGTCTTGTAGACTAGTGATTCTCAATGCGGACCCCAGTACAGCTGTGCTAACATCACCTGGAATTTGTTGGAAATGTGAATTCTTGGGCCCCACTTCAGACTCAGAATCAATAACCTTGAGAATCAGGCCCAGCAATCTGTGTTTTAACAAAATCTCTAAGAACTCTGATGCACGCTATAGTTTGAGAACCACTGTCGCATAGCATGGTTAGGATTTTTAATTTCTTCCTGAGATCTATGGACATTATTAAATTGTTTTAAGCAAGTAGATGATATAATCAGATGATAATTTTTAAAAAATACGTATGTGATGTATGTGATAAGTGGTATATATAGTTTAACTGGTTCTTTGGAGTTTAATTAGTTCCTCAAAGTTATGATTTCTTAAAATGTTTGATTATGACTTTTTGGTACAGGTGACATGAAAAGGGTGTCATCTAGAGATTTAAAAAAAAGTATCCCAGAACTTACCCTAAAAACCAAGGATAACAGCACTCAGGGAAACTAACAATTACCCAATAAAAGTAGTTGCTGACCCAGTGGGGAATAAACAATATTTCCAACAAAAGCTGATGGGACTTTGAGTCACAGAAATGGCTAAGCCCTTAGGTTCATTCACAAGTCTCTGAACTGGGATGAAGCCCAGGAAAGTGGATTTTACAACCTTCAGTCAGGGAAAGACCCTGAGGGGCAAGTCTATATTGTCAAGACTTACTGAGTATACTTAACATTATTTTGAAAGTTAGTAATTTTCTTATCCTATCTAATAAAAGACAAACATGGTAATTAACCATACCTCTGCTATGCTTCCCATTGGCTAATCAGCAGGATATGCAAATTAACACATTGTATGCTGGAAACGTATTTATACGTTTTACGTATTTATACGTTCTACCAGTGTAGTAGAGCTCGGGATAAAAACTACCCACAAACAATGTGTTAACTGTCAACAAAGATGGTGGCCGGCAGCCACGCAGCTGAAGTGAACATGAGGCTTGCTTGCTCCAGTGATGGAGGAAGCCAAGGTTCCCGCCTGCCGCGGCCCAGCTCTGAGCTCCAGAAGCAACAATATTTCAATTATACATGCTAAACAAACCCCAGATACCTGCTTTCAGCCAGCCACGGCCTCAGAGCTGGAGCCGGCTCTCAGCTCCAGTGACAGCTATAGAAGGTAAATAAATCCCAGAATAAAAAAGAAAAAAGAAAAAAAAGAGGCTGGGAGCTTCAGTCGCCCGCCAGCCTGAAAACGGCCCTCAGCCCCTCACCCAGACTGGTCAGGCACCCCAGTGGGGACCCCCACTTTGAGGCGGGTGTGACCAGCTGCAAACAGCCAGCAGCCCATCATCCAGGCTGGCCAGGCACCCCAGTGGGGAACCCCACCCTGAAGCGGGTATGACAAGCTGCAAACAGCCATCAGCCTGTCATCCAGGCTGGCCAGGCACCCCAGTGGGACCCCCACCCTGATCCGGGACACCCTTCAGGGCAAACCAGCCGGCTCCCACCCATGCACCAGGCCTCTATCCTATATAGTAAAAGGGTAATATGCAAACTGACCCTAACAGCACAAAGACTGGGAATGACTGGTCACTATGACACACACTGACCACCAGGGGGCCGACGCTCAATGCAGGAGCTGTCCTCTGGTGGTCAATGCGCTCTCACAGTGGGGAGCTCTGCTCAGTCACAAGCCAGGCTGATGGCTGCCAGTACAGCAGTGGTGGTGGGAGCCTCTCCTGCCTCCTCAGAAGCGCTAAGGATGTCTGACTGCAGCTTAGGTCTGCTCCCCGCTGGCAAATGGACATCCCCCGAGGGCTGCCGGGCTGCCAGAGGGATGTCTGATTGCCATCTTAGGCCCAATCCCCCAGGGAGCAGGCCTAAGCCAGCAAGTGGTCACCCCTGAGGGGTCCCAGACTGTGAGAGGGCACAGGCCGGGCTGAGGAACCCCCTACTCCTGAGTGCACAAATTTTTGTGCACCGGGCCTCTAGTGTTTATATAATGATCAGCTTAAATTTTTTTTTCAAGTAACTGGAATATTCCAATCCCTCACTCCTCTATGAAGAGATTAGTATATATTTTACCCTATGCCCAACTAACAAAATATCCTCTACAGGGAAAATTCCAATTTAGTAGCAAATACTACTTTCCTTCCTCTTTCCTGGTCCCTGCCTAAGCCCCTCATTTCCTATCTTATTGTTATTATTGTCATTTTCCCGACATCTAGAAATCCATGCAAAGATGGATCACCGCTTTTCCATCCCTCCCCCACCTTTTTAAAAATTCCACTTTCTGGTGTTGAATACTTTTGCCTGTTTTACTTGTTTATACCTTCTCTCTTGGTGCAGAAATTCACTTACTGGAAACAAAGCTCTTCCTGTAAAGTTGCTGCAGTAATTTACAGTCACCAAAGGGCTGATAAACTTGCTGTCTGTATTTCCTTAGACCTATTATGGCTCTTTCCAAAATGCAGAGCAGCCACAAATGGGCTCAGGATATAAAACCACATACAAATATTTTCTGCCCCAAGATGATAACTTTAGGTTTCATTCCCCTCACCCCTTTTACTTAAAGCAATTACAGGAAACCTAATTAAATGCTAGGGGAACGTCACAAGTCCACTGTAACCTTTTAGTTCAAGTACATTCTACTGACCACGGATCTGAAGCCTTTTAAGAAGCCACAGACCGACCCTCCTGTACAGGAATTATTCATAGTCTGAATGTTCTGAATTGTGTGTCCCAGGCTCCCTGTGGGTGCTGGAGTCAAGCACACACCGATTTTTGTCCTCAGCCTCACAGACACCCCATTCAGAAGGGAATGGATTGCAGTTGCGTACAGTTGTCCTACCACAGGCTCAAAGATTACTTCCAAATTTCGGTCAACAACACAAGAACAAGAAAGAACTGAACACAAAGTAATTAAACACAGCTTAGAATCCCTGAGAACCTGCTGCATTATTCAAACTCTGAGCTACTTGGTCGCATACCACCTTTTCATTACCACGGGTACATTCACTCCCTGTCCCATTTCGCTCATCAAACCAGAAGCTAGTGGTGTGGGTAAAAGCAGGTAATATCCTTTCTCATGGAAAGTAAAATGGCAAATCCGCTTGAAGTCTTGAGACAGAAAAAACAGGCTGCCTTGAAATTTGAAATGCCATCAGCATTACTTCCAAGGCGGGCTGCTTTGAAGAGCATTTGGGAACTTGAAATTGGTTTCAGGTTATTTAAAGGTGGGGAGGAAATGCTTCAATCTCCAGGACTTACTCAAACACAAATGTGCATTTCCCATCACATCTGATAACATCAAAGACTTCCCATCACTGTTCTTCCTTTAATAGTGGCGTCTCAAGGAGGCATGTTGTTTGAAGTTTGCAGTGATTTGCTTTTATAATAGGATTCATTGTGGTTTGGGAACCAGAGTGCAGGAAAGTAATTAGCATCATATACCAAGAAGTCTCATAATGAGTACAAATATGCA